GTGTCTGGCACATGGACTAACCAGACATGAAAAATAATAGCAGGCGATGAATATTCGGGCGATTCATTTATCAGCATCATTACAATCATCAGAACACACTATTTCAACAGTCTCGGGCGAATGTATTGTGAATTCAATTCTATCAAAGGGCGCTTAATTATACTAAGTGACGCCAGAGCGACAATGACGACGCTGATGGCCACCTAGACTACAATTAATAATAATTCCCTACGCCCCATCGCAGCTCATGTGTGTCTGTGTGTGTGTGTGTGGGTCGAATGTCACATGGATAATTGAAAATTAATTATGTTGACATATTTGCGAAGTGATTGTTAAGATGGTGCCACAGTATAATTTTGGCATCAGTCCCAGCAGTTACCCATACCAAGCCCCAGCTGAGGAGCTGGCCTAACCCAACAGCAAATTGCCTGGCTCTGGCCTGTCATGGGGCCATTTGTTTGGCCAAAAGCCGTCGCTGAGGAGAATCAGGCTAGTTGGCTGGATGACTGCTCCACCTTTTCGACGTTTTTATGAAGCCGGCGCACGACAGAAAACATTTTGCTTTAATTAGCTAACGGCGCCGACCTCAAAGGCTTGCGTTGATCACATTCGATAGGCTCTGAGCGCCACAGAATTAATATTAACTTGGGCATTACAGTTGAGCTACTTAATACAGAAGACTGAACGATGCAAATGTTAAGTTGCACAGCAGCACAAGTAGGAAGGATGCTGGCCAAATGCCACAGCCGCTGCGGCATTTGTGTGCGAGTGAGCAAACATAAAGGCGGAAATGTGGACGTAACTGCAAGAGTTGCCAGCAGGAGTAGCAGCAGCCACAGCAGCAGCAGCAGCAGTTGAAGCAGCAGCAGCAACAACAACAACAGCGAAAAACATTAAGACAAATGGCAGCAGCAGTTGCATTATAAAAAACTTAAAGCAATGCAGCGAGTGTAGCCGACTGCACAATACTCTATTTACAAGGCGAGACCAACTTGAACTCTGGGCAACGTCTAGCTAAATGATGGCTTAATATTTGAATCTAACAAGGAACTAGTGGACTCAAGAGTCAGCGAACAACGAGCAGCTATTCAAGTAGAACGTTAAGCCAATATACTCAGCGAATTTTCATGCAAAGGGAGTAGCAAAAGTGCCTCTGGAATATGCAATAGGCGAATGCAAAAGGCAAAATAATACGAAATTTCTAAAGAGCAGAAGTTACGTTTGCATAACTAATGCCAGTTTTGTGCCCATTCTCTGTGCATACTAAATGCATTTCAGGCTTCTGAGAGAACTCGCATTAAAGCATCGCTCAGCAGAGAACATAAAAATGGCAGCATAGTGCAGAAAACGGTTGCCTACTTCCAGGCTGACGCGACTTTAATTGCTGGTGATTTACGGTTGCTGTTGTGGCACACTTGACAATTCTACAAAATGCTTAAATTCAACAAACAGGCAGACAAACAAGTAATCAAGAGCGGCAAACAAATGAGCATGATATCAAAATGGGAATGAAAAACAAGTCTTAATAACCCGTTTCATTTCGGCCGTCTCTTAAAGCACCGCATTTTTGGCACTAACGTGCAAATGTCACGCGAACGTTGTTTTTAGTTCGGTGCAATGTGCTGGCACTTAAACCACACACAGACAGCTCACACATATCAACAGCCACCCACCCAGCCCCTCGCACATGCACGCACACACTTCTATACACACCTCTATTCGCAGCGATACCCACTCGATACGAATGCGGATCCATGGCGGTGACGCTATCAGGCGGAAGTGGCACATGTCACGCTCCACGCTGCCTGCTCATTGAATTGCGATGTGCCAGTGAAGGCGAAAGACTAAAAAGAATTCACATCCTTTGGGCAATAGCGCGGCAATTATGGTTGAATAGTTTCCACTGCTGAATGTACGGTTGTAATGTAAGTGCAATTAACATTTATGATTACACACCAACAACATCCACACCAACATCAACATCAACAGCAGCAGCAATAGCATATACTAAGAGCCCAACACTTTCTATAAATATTTAACAATTATTTACAGCTTCGACTTGCAGCTCCACGCATTATATTCTGGGTGTGCTCGCATAGTAATAATTATATGGGTTAAACGGTTCCCCAATGGCACACGCTTCATGTGTGCTCACTCAGGCAACCCAGATAATCACACGTACTATAGAGCCCTAAGAGCCCTGCTTGTGTTTTTCTTTAAAAGTGTAATTCCATTTCAGGCTGTCGGCCTGACTGTTATATAGACGCTGGCTGTCATTCAACGAGTCGCTGACTATCTGACGTCATCAGCAGATAGCATGTAAAAGGGTTAAGTGCCTGCCTGGCTGCCTCCACTCTGCTTTATGTTCACTTTTCATTAGTAAATAAAAATCAATAAGCAACTAAGGCAAACAAAGCAGCTCTCATGCTTGCCATGCCAAGCATTTATTATTATTTGATCCTATATAAATAGACGAAATTTTACGAATTTATCCATCTGCAAATGGAAAAAGTGGGCAATTTAATAACCTGGCGAGCTGCTACCCTGTATTGAAGTAGGCTAGAAAGACTTAAGGAATTAATTATAAATCCCCTAAGAGTGCATTCATTATTTAGTGTTTGGATTTCATTCAAGCTAAATTTAAATGAAGCAAACTTTAAGCCAGCAATTTAAATGGAATATCTGTTGATATTATTCTTCTGTTTCATATTGGCAGCCAAAAGCCGTGTGCCGCAGGCAGTCTATAATTGTATAAAGACATTTCCATTGACGTCGCCAGGACGGGCCTCAGTTCGACTGTTGATTTTTCAAATTTAATTTGCTGCATGGCTACGCTGCGTATGCGCAATATCAAATGGCAGAAAGCCGTGCAAACATTTACATTTGTCGCAGCGCATGGCAAATAATTGCATTCARCTGCACAACAACATTAATTAATTATGTTTCTGCAATTTCGCTGTCAGAGCAACCGCGAGCCACGCTGCGTATACGCGACGCGCTCCAGTTGGTCGAGTTAATAAAGCTGCACAAGGGCAATGCCAATAGAAGCGCTAGTGGACTGATAGTGTACGGCCACGCCCACAGACAAAGCACGCCTCCTATGTGGACGGCAAACATTGCGCATTTCTTTTGCAGCTGCGTTTTTTCTCTTCATTTTTTCTTTTACTTTTTCTTTTTTTTTTTTTTTTTTGCCCAACTGCCTTTAGTGTATTGCTTCAAGCCCGGAATTTCGACGCGCATAATGTGCCGCAATGCGGTTTTTCCCGAACGCCAGCAAAAGTCGCGCTGAAGACAACGCCAAGCCGCAGGACACACACACTCACACACTCTCACACACACACACACACACACACTCGAAGAGAAGGACTCAGATACATTTTGCTCAAGTGAAATTTCAACTTTGCGCGCTAGACACCAACACATACAAAGACCAACTGTGTGTGGCCCATGTTGAGCTGAATTTTGAGCATAAACGGCATAAAATATGTGTGCAATAAAACACACGATTGAAATGCTCAAGTCAGAAACTTTGCAAAATGCCTTTAAGCGCCATTGGCTTGTGCTCGTTTGTGGTTGTGTGTGTGCTGTGTGTGGCCTCCATGGGCTTGATTTATGCCACATGTTCGCATATGCTGCCTTACTTAGTATGTGTATTTAAGCCGCTCAATGGCTGCCATCGCCATTGAATGAAGCCGCGCGCCTATGAAATTGCCTGCTTTTCAAGCTTAGCCCGGCTCTCAACGCTCAACGCTCAGCGCTCATCTCTCGGGCTTGTTTTCAGATTCAACTTCATTGGGCTTTTGAATAACGTGTGTGTGTGTGTGTGTGTGTGTGTGTGTGGTAGGATTTTGGTTAAAAGCAAAGCGTGTGAATTGAGCCAAAATTAGATGAGTTTGCCAAGATTTTTTCCCTTTCAACTTATTTGTTTTGGCTGTCCAATTTTTGGTAAACAACATGACAGGCCTCAGCTGCCAGCATTGAGCATGTCATAAATGCGGACCTTGGCTGCTCCGCTTGTCTATGCATGCACGCTTGGGCTCACATCACAGAGCAATTCATATCCAACAATTGACAGACGGCAACACACGAGCCACTCAATTCACCGCACACACTTTGAGATGTAATGCAGCCGGTAGGCAAATGGTTTCGATCCAATTTCAAACCCAATTACATACGCATCATAAATGTATGAACGTTCATAATTTTGCATAAAATTTGCGTTTGTAATTTTTAACAAGCCTCAAAATTGCTTAGTAAAGTTTAAGCCTTAAAGAATAAGCTGACCCATTTTCAAGAGAACTTTGAAGTGGTTGCGGATGGCTAACTGGAAATGCATACAGTCTACTGGGTAAAGCTCGCTCATGGCTGTCAGCCAAGTTAAATAAAAAGATTGTAAAAATATTAACTCCGGCTGTAAAACTGTAAAAGTTATGGTTTTTACTATACGAGCTAAACTGTAATAAAATATTGTGTATAAAAAATTCACAGCCATAAACTAATCTACTCTTCCTTATTTTATAAAGTTGTATTGAAGGCAAAGCAAATATAGTTTCAATAAATTAAATATTCTATTTAATTAGCTAATGCACTTAGTTATGCAAACAGGTTTTATGGACAAATTAAGTCCGTTTTGGCCCATCAAAAATATGTGTATTTACTGGTTGAATAAATAAAAACCTGAGCCAAATGCAATTAAATGCTGACGTATTAAGTGGAATTAGGCATTTAATTGATGTGTATAAATGATGTTATGCTATTAACTTGTGCACAGCAATATACATAATTGCATATGTATATTGCAACTTGAGCCAAACACTTTAATGGCTTCATTTAGACGAGCTGCATTCACTTCATTCAGAGTCAAATTTCAAGATTGCATTATTGGCAATCTGATAAATAATTTAATAGGTCTTCCCTAGCTCTTCTCTCTTCGAGCTCTTCGAGAGATGGAAAGTAGGAATTGCATTAAGAAACATACGTAAAAAGGCTCATCAACTTACTTGAAATTAATCAGCAACATTTACCACAGCTGCACGGGTCGCTTCTCCTTACAGATCGCTCGCAGCTTGTCTGTCTGTGTGAGCGGCTCTTAAGTGCACGTACATCGTTAACAGCTTAATTGCTTGGCCATTTCCAGTGCGTTGACGTCATGACAGGTGGCAGAGCGTGCACGAGGCTAAGTCGCAGCCAGGAGGCTGCCCTCTGGCTTGTTCTCTTCCTTTTCAATATGTGTGCTAGTGTGTTCTTCTTTTCACGTCTTCTTTTCTTTCGTTTCTTTGGGTTTTCTTTCTTTTTTTATTTTTTTATTTTGGTTTGTCTTGATTTTTTCTTTTATATGTTGCAGCTAATCCGTTTGCGTGTACGCGGCTAAACTTCTGCGGCTTCTACGACGCCTCTCCGTTCCAGCTGTGTGTGGGGGGGAGTGGGGAGCATGCGTGTGCTCGCCTTTATGCATATAAATCCATGGGAGGCTTTTACTTAGCGTTTAAGCACTTGATCCGTTGCGCGACATAAAGATATTACATGACAAAGCGATTTTGCCGCTTAGTACACACAAAAACACATGTACAAACCCACGCACACACACACGTACACTCACACACAAACACGATTACACTCGCGAAATTTCTCGTTTAATGGTTTTTACGACTAATTTCGATTCGCTTTGGAATTTCATTAACGTTTTTGGCCTATTATTTGCTTAAATTGTATTCGGTTTAAATTACCGTAAATATATTTATCAAACGCTTTAGTTGATAGAAAAAATTACAATAAATTTTTGATATTTGATATTTGATATTGCATATTTTATAGCTTATTTAAATTAGTTTTTGATCCATTAATAAATCAAAACTCAGACCGAAATTGATATGTATCGTTAAAAGTTAAGTTATTATTAAATTATGCTTTCATTTGGAATTTTGTTCTCCCTTTTTTTTTCGTAGTTCCTTTCACATTACATGTGCATCAGAATTTCTATGATGTTAAGCTGCAAATAGAAAGAAAAGGAAGCAAATATATAGATTTATCAATTATCGGGCATTGGCATAAAATGTGAGCAGAAATTTCAAATACTTAAAACTTATCTAATTGTCATTTGCCAGCCGCTCCACTTGGAGCAACTTTTATCTGCGCGCGTCTGCAAAGTTTTTATCTGCCGCTCAGGTGAGCAACTAGAATTAAAGCCTTTGACTGCCCCGCCAACCACCTAGGCCTTGCCACACGGCACGTTGTAATTACATCAACTCTGAGATTGCCACACACACACACTCATGCACCTACAGTTGCAAACATACTCAGAGGCACTCACTCGCACACACACACACACTCCACACGGAGTGGGCATATAATTAGAGCATAATTACGGCTCGACTAATACTCGAGTATCAAGTAAGAGTAGTAGAAAAAGAATTAGCTGCTGGAGGGGAAGCTTCAGTCGGTCATCTATTAACTATAATCAACGCCAAGGCAAGCGGAAATAGACAGATTTCCGGCTATTAAACACTCAGCAGCGCGGCAAAAGCCGCCAAGACGGGATCTCAGACGAGTACACTTGAAGAAAAATCAGACTCAGTTTGATATTGAGAGTGCCTTTTGACAGTAGAGAATTGTCAAATATCGAATTAATTAATATTCATTTTAATCGAAAATGCTATTATTTATCATTAATCAAAATAAATTAGAAAGATTCCACTGTTTGTGCGAAATTATCTAAATTGACATTACATTTTTCACAGTGTAATTTGGCCTGGTGTACGGCAAATTGTGTGGTATAAATTGAAAAAAATGTTAATTAGCCGTAATTTGCCTGCAGCGCGTAGGTGCCGGGTAGCTCTTTTGTGTATGCCTCTTTTGACATTGACACACACACACACACACACAGTGACACATTCAGCAGGAATACACACACACGCACACATGCACGCAGCAGGTGTTGCCAGCATGCTTAATTTAGTAATGAGCCCATTCCCCTCAATTGGCACACTCTGTGCCTGGGCCTGGGCCTGAGCCGGGGCCCCTTCCATTCGGCTATCTTGCCAGTGAGCTCATATATTAGCATAAACAGTTCATTTATATCAAAATGAATTTCGACCGTTAGCTGCCAAATGGGGCGTGGCACATCGAATGCGTACACAAAGAAAGAGGCAGCGCGTGAGAAAGAGAGAGTGAGAGAAGGTGGGGGCTAATGCGAATGCATGTCAGCCAGGTTCGATTAGCCCAAAGTACACATTACACATGGCAAATGGCAAATGGCAAAGCGACGGGCAGCTATCAAATGTTGCAGTAGCGAAAACCGAAAACAAACAATTCCATAAACGAAACTAAACTCTGGCTGAGTAGCGCATAAAACGCTATCAAATTTCTTGTTAGCAACAATTTACACATTTTGTGCGCTTATTGTTCCAGTTTGCCTCCCCACTCTCAAAATATGAAACAAGAATATATTTCTCGATTCAGTTGACTCAAATTCCTTCACTCTAGTTCATTCTAGTTCTTTTTTTTTTTATTTTATATAGTCGAATATTTATTTTCCTTGTTCTTTGCCTCGTTCGCTTTTGGTAATATTTGGCGCGACTGAGCACGCGATATGGCAATTGATAAAACGTCGGGTATTCGATACTTCCTATTGCTCGCTTGGGCGCCTCGGCGCCGGCAACGACTCTGGCCTGGCGGCAAATAATAACCAATCCTCGGCACCCACTGAGGGACAGAGGTAACAGAAATAAATCTATAAAACTTCCTTGTTTTTACCGTATTCCATATTTCCCTCGGCATAGGCATTTAAGTATCTGTATTTCTACATTCGGGTGAATGATTAGCAACGACATAGTGTTTGCCTTTCGCTAATGATGAGCTACAGCAGGCATTGATTTATTATGAGCCCCATGGAACCAAAAGTAGAGGCCACCGATTCACCCACTGCTTACGCCTGGAGGTTGGCAACGGAAAGTGAACTTTACCTGTTACTATTGAAGCAACTGTCGCTGAATCTGTTAGCTTTACTACGCATTACTGTTAATGTTGTTCTTTAATGATAGCTGTTAACTATTGACTGTTAACTAGCACATTGACATTAAGTGTTAAGGTTATTGGCTTATTGGTTATTGGCACTACTTTTGTCCGTTGTATGCCACTTCACATGCAGTTCCAATTATTTTTAAAGACCAGACTGGTGGTACTATAACTACTAATAAATCTGTAAACTATTGACTGTTAAATGTTACATTGACTGTATATGCTACGCTTACTACTGTTATTGTTCATATTCGCACTACTTTTGTCCGTTTTATGTCACTTTACTTTCAGTTCCAATTATTTTTAAGCATCGGGGTTACTGCTACCCCAGCTACTCATAATTCTGTTAACTATAGACTGTTAAATGTTACATTGACTGTAAATGTTACTGTTACTGATCATATTTGTGCCACTTTACTCATATTACTATGGCTAATAGTATTAATATTTTATGTTAGTATTTGCTCTTTGTGCGAACATAATATATCTAATTTCAATTTTTAGCCGTAATATTTTAGTATATTGGAAACTAACAAGGCGTACCGCTTGTCCATGGCCTTAAACGAGTACGCTAGTGGAAAATGCTTAAAAGCTGAAGCAACAAAGCAGAGAAAACAATAATATCAGATGTGCGTCCGGCGATGGGCAATATGATGCATGGCCTCCACATACATAAATCATGTCCGCCTTTTGTACGTTCTAATGGAGTTTGACTTAGTTTTTGCCAATTTTTCAACCAGCAAACCGAGAAAACGTCCCGCGGCTACAATCGACATGGCCGGCCATCGCATCAGTTTGTTATTATTGGGCAAAAAGATTGAACAGTAACATTATGGGGCCGGATCGAATGATGTAAGCCCTAACGAAACAAGCCAGCAGCAGGAGGCAGCAGGAGGCACATCAGCCAGAAACCGTGTCGTAAATTTTGATAAAACATCTGAAATTTAATTAAGGTTGGTCAGCTCAACGTCCGTTGCAGAGAGAGCTACGGCTCCTGCTGAAGCTGCAGCTGCCGGACCCTGTCACTGTCGTTAGTGTGCGCACAGCCAGGTAATTTATATTGTGGCACGGTGCGTTGCCCGCGGCACAGATTGCAGCAGGCAACCAAAACTAAATATCTATATAGTTAAATGTGCACTAGCATATCACTTACACAGCCAACGCGACTGGCGGCTCGTGGGAGCTGTGGTGGAGCCTGCTGGCAGGCAGGCATATACGCATATCTCGCACACGCACACGCACACACACACGCGGACACACACACACAAGTGCGCGCAGATAATAGCATAACTAAAACCGAGTTTTTTTTTTTTGCGGATCGGGCGACGCGACGCGAAATGTTAGTGGAGTAGGCGTAGAGCCACGTATGCTTATGCAGGTGTCAGGGCTCTATTTGCGGCTGCTGCGGCACGTTGCAAGTGGCACGTTGTGAATATTGCAGCTGGACGTTGAATTTGCGGTTTTAACACCAGATCCTATTCGACCGGAATGTGTACGTTGTCGTTGCGGCGCAGAAGGATACCGAGTTTGTTGCCGTGGCGAATGTAACGCCTGACCGCGACTAAAGTTGCGTGGGTCATAGTTGGTCAGCGAGCGAGAGAGAGAGAGAGAGAGTGACTCAGTGCGAGAGAGATGGAGAGAGAGTGAGAGCACAAATCACACACGCACATTAACAGTAGCACACATGCACAAGCTTAATGCACGTCCTTGTATATAAATTTCACGAGCAACTTTTGTTTGACGCCTTTGGCGGCAAGTGAACAAAATTACGTCAAGTTGCGTTGGCGATTCGAAACTATGTTAACGGCTTACTGAGTACGGCTAACTGAACTCTTATCCTGAATATCCGCGTGCTGCGCGTTCATTGCTGGACTGCGGCAAACTGACAAACGCGCCCAAAACGTCGCTGGCATTAACCCAGCTTGTGTTGTGGCACGAACACGAGCGGCACATGCACTCCGGATAAAAGTGCGAAGCCAAAGAGAGCCGCACGCGCCGAAGAGAGTGCTGGCTGCTCTTTGCCTGTGGTCGGCTCTTGTTGTGCTTGGCTTGTGCTGAGCACACAACACAAACACAGGTTGACTGTGTGCCGAGGCTGAGGCTGAGACTGAAGCTGAGACTGAGGCAGAGGCAGAGGTTGAGGCTGTGGCATGGACTGTGGCTCGGACTGTGGCATGGAGCTGGCCTTGTTTTTTGGTTTGTCGTGCGCTTAAGATTCAATTTGGCACCAGAGCATACACACACACACACGCCTACACTCACACACGTATATACAGCTTGGTCCTGCACCCACGCACGCCCCCACTAGGCCCCTCCCCCCACTCGAACACCTTAGCGCATGCAAACCATTTGGCGGAAACAATTGGGTCAATTGGTCATGGCTGTCAAGGTCTTAAACTTTGGTATTTATGGCATGGCATGCATTGTAATTTTTACAATTTTCCCCTCTATATTTTTTGTTCCTTTATAATTTGTTAAAAACTCATTCCAGCACATTCAGCTGCAAGCGGAGAGCGCGGCAGGCTGCGGTCTACGGGCCGCCTGCTGGCTGCCAGCTGCGTGTGTTGCATGTGCCGGCAATTTCCGCCAGAGTCGCGTGCTTCCGCTTACAAGCCGCACACACGCAGAGGCCGCTCCGCTCTGTGGCACTTAAGTATCTGTTGGCGCTGCCACAGCTAGTGACACCCCTCTGATAATATCCGCAATTTGCCT